TGGCCTATCCAGGCTGTTTGCATACTGTCTGGTGGGCATTGCCCAGGTGAAAGCAGTTGTAATTATTATACAGTCAATATTTGTAACTCCAGATACAGAAATGATACATGCATACAAATTGGATAATCACATTCAGAAATTCATAACCTTTCCAATAACCTCACATGAGCCACCTTGCATAAAACATATCTTAATTATGCCATGTTAATATCATAAGCATATCTCTATGAAGAATATGGGGCGTAATTCTGGCATTCTGAATTCTTCCTGACAGCTATGATACCATCTTGCTGAAAATGTTTCCAAAACTGATTCCATGATGTTCACAGCAGGAATTTGTGATTTTAAATTAATCATGAAGGTCCCAGGTACTTGAGGAACACAAGGAGCCTACTGAAAGTGGGTCTGTGCAAACAAACTGAATAGTTTGGTTGATGAAGAGTGAAGATCCACAGTTATGTGTTTTTTGAATAACAATGCATCAGAAACTCATAAATCCTTTCTGCTGAATGCAGTTCTCTGTTTATGTTATCTACAGTATATCTGAATAACACAATCATTCTGCCATACAAAGTTAGAAGTCTGTCATCCCAGTACAGAAGGATAGCAAACTTGCAGCATACTCCTCCCTCCTCTGGAATCTGTAGAAGCTCGTTCCCACAAACCCTGGCTGGGCCTGCATGGGTTGGGACGGAGCCAGGGAACTGCTGCTCTGTGTAACAGGCTCCCATCTGACTCAGAGGAAATACCAGTGGTAACATCTGTGAAGTTGATATGGCTCTAAATTAATGTTTACTCCTCATTCTGTGACCCCTTTTTTGAGGGATCACAGCAGGCATGGAGCCAGCAACGGTAGCATGGCTTCTGGATTTTTATCAGTGATTAAAATGATAATTAAAATTCAAACAACTGTTTTAAGTACAGGGAAAGTACAATTTCTTCAAGTGAAGTACAATGAATACCTTTTCCTCGCAGAATGTACTTCAAATACAGATAAAATCTAGAAAGATAAACACTACCAGTCAGGTTTCAAGTAGCAGCCATGTTAGTCTGTATTCACAAAAAGAAAAGGAGTACTTGTGGCACCTTAGAGACTAACAAATTTATTTGAGCATAAGCTTCCGTGAGCTACAGCTCACTTCATCGGATGCTTTCAGTGGAAAATACAGTGGGGAGATTTATATACACAGAGAACATGAAACAATGGGTGATACCATACACACTGTAAGGAGAGTGATCACTTAAGATGAGCTAATACCATCAGGAGAGTGGGGTCGGGGGGGGGGGGGAGAAAACCTTTTGTAGTGATAATCAAGGTGGGCCATTTCCAGCAGTTGACAAGAACCTCTGAGGAACAGTGGGGGTTGGGATGGGGCGGAAATAAACATGGGGAAATAGTTTTACTTTGTGTAATGACCCATCCACTCCCAGTCTCTATTCAAGCCTAAATTAATTGTATCCAGTTTGCAAATTAATTCAAATTCAGCAGTCTCTTGTTGGAGTCTGTTTTTGAAGTTTTTTTGTTGAAGAATTGTCACTTTTATATCTCTAATCGAGTGACCAGAGAGACTGAAGTGTTCTCCGACTGGTTTTTGAATGTTATAATTTTTGATGTGGTTCTGTTGTGCGGTGTGTGGTTGCTACCAGTCAGGAATTTTAAAATATAATCTCTTGCTAAACTTGATTAATGAGATAATAAAAAAAGCTATAATACAAAAAAATCCAATTAAAATATCTTGTGAAATTTCTGTCAAACAGAAATAAAGAACCAAAGAGACTGGTAAAACTTTGAAAAATTGGAATGATACACATGATAGCTTTAGTATTTGAGACTACTTTATATCAGTTTTATACTCTCACTGATTGACTGTCCCCTAGTTTATTAGGCTTCTCAACTGCTGATGTGTTGTGCCTGGAATTCTTTATTTTTATTATTTTTTATATTGTCTCACAGCATAATCTCTGAATATAAACAAATTAGTAATTATAGCATAACACAGCATGTAGGTACTTTCTTTGTACAGAAGACATACAGGCATGTGGCACAGTATAATGTATTCTACACCAATGAAAAGAAAACTGAAGAAGAAACAAAAAACTCACCTACCACTCATATTAAAGAGAAATGAACAGATGATAAACTAGCTATAACTTGTCTTATCATTGATGCAGGAAGGATAAGGTTGAAAAGAATAAGATGGAATATTCCAACATCCTGCTCGCATTAGCCAGCTTTAATCAGTAGCTGGGTTGGGGGATGTTGGCTAATAACATAAGGGAAGGAGCTCTTGGGGTCTAGGCAGGAGCAGAGGGGCAAGAACCACAGGATCAGGAGCAGACTGGAAGGGAAGCAGACGTGGGGCAGCTATACTCCCCTCCAGAACCTGGAACTGAACCTAGGAGTCCTGAGACTCTACTTTTCTCTGCTGTCAGCAATTAGTTGTGAAACCCCCTGAAAAAAATGTGTCTCATTCCCTTCTAGTGGTTGTTCCATAGAGGACAACCACCTACTACTACTACCAATTATTCCTCTGTCTAGCTCAAAGGGTCTATGCTGTGGGTATAAAAGTTTGAACTTTGTTCATGACCCAAGTTGAGGGTCAATATATTTCCACATGGTAGAATTTCTGAGGGTTTTTTGTCCATTTGTGTGTTTATTTTAAATAGGAAATTACATTAAAAACTACATTAAAATGACACGGTTAAGACTGCAATGTCAAGCAATCAAAAATCAGGAAATGCCAGAATTAAACGTGAGTCTGCATTATGATACAGTCTCCAATTACATGATGTCACACTATTTTTTCTACAGACCCCTATCTCACTGAGTTTTATTCAATGTTTATTTTTATTCTTTTCATTCACTGTGTGGCTCAAGATAATATTTAATACACATTACTGAATACAGAATTATTAATTTCCTCACGTCTTTCCTATGGTACTCTCCCGATAATAACTGAGTGCATCACATATGAATAACTTATCTTCACAATACCCATCAGATCAGGTACTATTATTATTATTCCCATTTTATAGCTGAGGCACAAGAGTGTTAAGGCAAAAACGGTGAAAAATGTTTACTAATTTTGGGTGCACAACTTGCGATATCTAGGGCCCAATTATTTAGGGTACTTCATCTTTTTCTAGCCCTTCATGTGTTCAAAACACAGCTCCAATCCACTCCACTTTTCAGTTGCAGTTGTTAGTGCTCAGGACTTCTACAAATCTGGCCAAGTGTCTGGGCATCCAGCAAATGAGTCACATGCAATTAGTGGCCTGTGGCCAGCAGTGAAATTTGGTTTAAGTGCTTTTCCTTATAGCATCATATAGGAACCCTATGGAAAAGAGAGAGAGATTCCAATTCTACAGGGCAGCATTTAACTTCATTAACCTTGAGACCACCCTTTCTTTTCCTGTGGTCCTCTGTCTTATTCATTTCAGACCTTCTAACACCTGCAACATATGAGGCAGGGGTTCTATAGGCAATGGCCTCCTCCTCAATACAATCCTGATTCATTCCCAAAGCACCATCCAACCTGTGCATTGTATGAGGCAGGGGACCTGTGGAAAAGCAGCATATAATTAAAGACTATATCATAATGCATGCACAAAAGGTGCCTGAATTAAGGTTGCATGAGTAACCTTAATACTGGCATTTTCTAATTTTGGAGTGCTGGACTTTGTAACCTTCATGTTAATATCCTTCTTTGGGTGTAATACATTATTATCCTGAAAGGTGGTGATGGCTGGCAGCTATCAAGTGAGTCTTTGATCTAAAGAACACCTGACCTCCTAAAGTCAGTGATTTTGCCAAGTACTCTCTGGGCTCATAGGGAAGCCCTTCACACAATAGAGACAGCTTCAAACAGTAGAGGGATCGCCCAAAGCACATAGCAGGTCAGAGCTCAACCATGTGGGACAAGGGTATTTTTTAAAATTGCAAACACAGGGACAAGAATATTGGCAATGGTTTTCCAACCTGTTTGTGTTCGTGGCAGAAAGCCAGAGAAACAGATGTGACTGTGACGCTGAGATGAAAAAGAAATAGGGCTTCGTAGACACAGAGCTCCGGGAAGCACACTTGGGGATTTCTGAGCAAAGAAGATGCCTCCTGATGTTTGTTTCTACTGGTGATTTGGTAAACATGACTTGGCGTTCACATTTTTCGTAAATAAAATTACACCAACCTCCCTCCCCCCTCACTTGCATCAATTTTTCCTCCTAATTGAAACAGCCCTAACAAGACCCCAAATATTAGCTAACTGCTTGGACCAAACATGCAACATTAGCTGTATTTATCCATAAACTACAGAACGAACGTTGTGTTTTCAGCCTGTTTGCTCGTTAAGTAAACTTTGCACAGGAGAGCACGTGAGAAATAGCTGGCGCTAATGAAGGAGAGGCACTTCTGCCTGCAAGGCTTTATTAGCGAAACAAGGTGCGGGAAGCCAACATCTTCATTGGCCCAACTTCTGGCGGTGAGAGACGAGCTTTCACGTTTGCGCTGCGCTCTTCTTCAGTAAGGCTTTATAGCAGCTTTCGCGCTGGCCTTTCGCCGTTTGGCTTGGTGCATTCACCCCGCCAGCCCTTGCAGAGACGCTTCAGGCTCGGGACGCCTGGAGCGCACAGACGCCAGAGGCTGGGAGTGGCCTGCGGCTAGGGCGGCGGTCTGCACCCCACCCTTCGGGGAGCCCTGCCGCCCGCGGGCTCCCGGATTGCAGCCCAGCCCAGGCGGGGTGGGAAGCTACTTCCCGCCGCCTCCACCAGCCCCCGGCGGCAGCGCGGGGAGCCGCCAGAGTGCAACGCGCACACGCAGCAGCTTCGCCAGTCCGCGGGGCGGCTCCCCTCCTCCTCCTCCTCCCGCCCCCGGCCCCCCGCCCGCGCCGCTCCCCGGCCCCGGCCCGGCCCCGGCTGCAGCCGCTTCCCGTCCTGCGCACTGCGCGTGCGGCCGGCGGGGCGGGGCGGGGCAGGCTCCGGCAGCCAATCGCACAGGCCGCCGGCCGGGCTGCCGCAGAGGGATGGAGGCTGAGAGCAGGGTACCGGGGCCGCCGCCGCTCTCCGGCTCCCCCGCTGGCAGCGAGGGTGGAGCTACTGCTGCTGCGCCCCGGCCGAGCGCCCCCGGCGCAGCGCGGGCCCCGCCGCCCCCCGCCGCCCCGGAGGAGCTGGCCTTTGACGACGACGAGGAAGACCTGGAGGTGTTCAGCAAGGTACGGCCCGGGGCCCCGCTCCCCGCCGAGCAGCCCCGAGCCCCCTGCCCGCCGCGGCCGGGCTCCGAAGGGCCGGAGCAGTGGGGGAGGGAGAGGTGCCCGCCCCGCGCCCTTCATCCCCCCCGCCCGCTGCACTTTGCCTCGGGCGCTGCCCCGTCTGGGGTGCCGCTGCCAGGGCTTGTCTGCAGAGCGGCGGGGATGTGACGGGCAAGCGGGGCTCCCCCGCCCAGCGCCCTGGAGCTGCCCCCGGCGCGTCTCATCGCCCCCTGCACTTCGGGCTGGGCGAAGCGGTCAGGGCAGCCTGCACCGGGCAGACACCCCGCGCGGGGGCGGCCCGGCCCGGCCCTAACGTGATTTCCCCCGTCACCCTGCTGCGCGGCGGGGAGTCAGGTGCCCGGGAGAGGGGGAGCGTTGCACTTATCTGCAGGTTCCTGTGGACGGGTAGTCGGAGCAACAATCCTGGTACAGTGACCTCTGCTACCTGGGCACGGTCCTGCAGGTTGTTAATGGCTCTAGGTAATGGCAATAAAAGCTTGGCAGAGAAATAGCACTATTCCTCTTCAAAGCGTTGCATGCACATTAACCTGAGTCGTCACCATCTAGTTTATGTTAAAGAGCAGAAAATAGGGATTGTAAATTGAGTAGATAAAGGGAAGATAAAAAGTTAAAGTGCACGTAGTGTTCTAATTCTTGTAGACAGCTGTCGTTTTTTCCACTCATGTTTCAAACAACCACTTAAAAACAAGGAGAAAGATGCCCCCTCCCCAGGAATTGGCATTTCATGGCTCTCTGGCATGCATAGAGGTGTTTGTTTTTTTCCCCAATGGGGATTCACCGTCCATTAAGTACTGTACTAGTTTTAGGATGAGTTTTCAGAGAAAAGTTGCTAATTTTTAAGTTTCTATTCAGTTTGTGCCGGTAATAGGGTTGGACACTTCAAGAAGGATGTGGATAAATTGGAGAGAGTCCAGCGAAGGGCAACAAAAATGATTAGGGGACTGGAACACATGAGTTATGAGGAGAGGCTGAGGGAGCTGGGATTGTTTAGCCTGCAGAAGAGAAGAATGAGGGGGGATTTGATAGCTGCTTTCAACTACCTAAAAGGGGGTTCCAAAGAGGATGGCTCTAGACTGTTCTCAATTGTAGCAGATGACAGAACGAGGAGTAATGGTCTCAAGTTGCAGTGGGGGAGGTTTAGATTGGATATTAGGAAAAACTTCTTCACTAAGAGGGTGGTGAAACACTGGAATGCGTTACCTAGGGAGGTGGTAGAATCTCCTTCCTTAGAGGTTTTTAAGGTCAGGCTTGACAAAGCCCTGGCTGGGATGATTTAACTGGGAATTGGTCCTGCTTTGAGCAGGGGGTTGGACTAGATGACCGTCTGGGGTCCCTTCCAACCCTGATATTCTATGATTCTATGACAGCTGTATGATCAAAGTATCCTCAGCTGTTACACTTTTTGTAATAGGGGAACTGTTATGGTAATTTTGGATATTGGAAATCTGTGTGTTCTGACTCTCTATCAGCAGTTTTTCCTCAGTAACCAATGATTGGCATTTGTCGTTATTATTAAGCAACTAGGTAAAAATGTTTGCTAAATTTGTCTGTGGGGGCAAACACCAATCTATTATTGTGCAGGCAACTGACCTAGAACCCCAGTCTTGCAGGCTGATGTGCATGGGTCAGTGCACAGTCCTAAAGTGGGGGCAGAGGCCTGTCTGTATAGATCTTATTGCAGTATCAAAGCGCTAGTTATTATCTTTAAGCACAGCCCTTGAAATTTACAGTAATATGTCATGTGTACCAATAAAATACAGAACAAATATAATATCTAAATAGTTAATCTACAGGCATGGTTTATATATAGTAATATATTGAAAAATACTCACCAGTATACAAGTTTCAAACTTGAGTTTATTCAAAACAGTTTGAGAGGGTGTACCATTGTTGTGTATGAAAATCAAATGGAGAATAGGTATCATTTAAATTTACAGGTTTCAGAGTAGCAGCTGTGTTAGTCTGTATCTGCAAAAAGAAAAGGAGGACTTGTGGCACCTTAGACTAACAAATTTATTTGAGCATAAGCTTTCATGAGCTACAGCTCGCTTCACTGGATGCACGCAGTACTATGGTGCCACAAGTACTTCTTTTATTTAAATTTACATCTATTTTGATAGAGGAGGGAATAAAATGATTAGTATCTGAAACTTGGTATAGGACCTAGATTGGGCAAACATTATCACACATGATTAACTACATGCATGGAAGTAGTCTCTGAACTATGATGAATCTTGTGATTGTTTTTCTTAACACCACAGCTTCTGAAGTCCAACAGTGAGATTCTCACAGGTGTTTATTTAAAACAAGTTTCTAGCCCTCATGGTTGTGGGGGAAAAAGATGTGAAAACATGACTTGAGTCATGACTTGACAAAGCCCTGGCTGTGATGATTATGAGGGATTGGTCCTGCTTTGAGCAGGGGCTTGGACTAGATCAGTGGTTTTCAAACAGCTGGTTGTGACCCAGTACTGGGTCGTGGAATGGAAGGCACTGGGTCATGGTGGCTCTGCTCAGCACTGCCAACCGGACCATTAGAAGTCCCATTGGCGGTGCTAGTTGTTCTGACACCGTGCTGTGCCCCAGAAGCGGCCAGAAGCCAGACCTGCTGCTGGCCACTGCGCACTAGAAGCCTAGGAGCTGGACCTTCTGCTGGCCGCTTCTGGGGCGCATGCGGTTTGCAGTGCCAGGACAGGCAGGAAGCCTGCCTTAGTGCCCCTGCTGCGCTACTGATCAGGAGCCGCTCGAGGTAAGCCTGCACCCCAATCCCCTGTCCCAGCTCTGAGCACCCCCAAACCTGGAGCCCCATTGTGCACCCCAAACTCCTCATCCCTGGCCTCAGCCCAGAGCCTTGACCCCCTCCCACACCCCAACCCTCTGCCTCACCCAGAGCCCCCCCAAAACCCAGAGCCTGCACCCCCAGCCCAGAGCCCTGATCCCCTCCTGCACACCAAACCCCTCATCCCCAGCTTCATTGGGTCACGGGCATCAACGGTTTTCTTCAACTGGGTCGCCAGAAAAAAAATTTTGTAAACCCCTGGACTAGATGACCTCTTGAGGTCTCCTCCAACCCTAATCTTCTATGATTCTATGGTGGAAGCTTAGAAGCCAGAAAATAAAATGAACTCTGTTAAAAACAGAAACTTTTAAGCCATTTTTGAGGTCTGACTCACAATTTTGGAACTCTTGATGTTGGCAATAGTGATAGAGTTAAGCATGCATGTGGGCTCAGGGCCTAATTCCTTGGCTTTTGGGCCCTGATCTTGCATTTGGATTCATGAGAGTTATAGTCATGAATATATCCTAAGAATATCCCCTAAGACCAGAGGGGACTATCATGATCATCTAGTCTCACCCACTCCTATAATAGACCCATAGCCTCTGGATGAGTTACTGAAGTCCTCAAATCATAATTTCAAAACTTAAAGTTACAGAGAATCCACCATTTACACGAGTTTAAACTCGCAAGTGACCCATGCCCTGTGCTGAAGAGAAATGCAAGTCGCAAGTCTCCCCCTTGGCCTTCTTGGCCTCTGCTAATATCTGAGGGGAAATTCCTTTCTGACTCCAAATATGGCGATCCGTTAGTTGACCTCTGTATCCTCTTGGTGTCCACTCACATGGCTCCAGTTGTAAGACTAGGGCTTTGAAAAAATCTTTGACGCCTTACATTAGGTAGATATCTGTTTTAAAAAGAAAAAAAGTTGACTAAAATATCACAAAGGTGGATTTAAAAAGCAATGATTGTGTTTTTTAAAAAAAATGAAAAATTGGATTGTTTTATTTAGACTCTTTTGATTAAATTATATTTTTCTTTTTTAAAATAAACCCGTGTAAAATAAAATCTGAATTTAATACAAAATATGTTAAGGCCTAAATTTCTCTTAAAACATTTACATAAAATATAAATATGCTGAATCCATGAGCCTCTGTCAAAAACTTAGATGTTTACCCCTGCTTCTAACTTTTGAGGACAAGCTTTATAAATATGGCACAATAAATCAGCCTGAGTAATTTAGGAGATTGCCATTTTCAAGACTTAGGCAAAACCAGGAACTTAAGTCACTTTCTCTTAGGGTATGTCTACACTACGGAATAAGGTCGAATTTATAGAAGTCGTTTTTTTAGAAATCGGTTTTATATATTCGAGTGTGTGTGTGTCCCCACAGAAAATGCTCTAAGTGCATTAAGTGCATTAACTCGGCGGAGCGCTTCCACAGTACCGAGGCTAGAGTCGACTTCCGGAGCGTTGCACTGTGGGTAGCTATCCCACAGTTCCCGCAGTCTCCGCTGCCCATTGGAATTCTGGGTTGAGATCCCAATGCCTGATGGGGCTAAAACATTGTCGCGGGTGGTTCTGGGTACATATCATCAGGCCCCCGTTCCGCTCCCTCCCTCCGTGAAAGCAAGGGCAGACAATCATTTCGCGTCTTTTTTCCTGAGTTACCTGTGCAGACGCCATACCACGGCAAGCATGGAGCCCGCTCAGGTAACCGTCACCCTATGTCTCCTGGGTGCTGGCAGACGCGGTACAGCTTTGCTGCACAGTAGCAGCAACCCATTGCCTTCTGGCAGCAGACGGTGCAATACGACTGGTAGTCGTCCTCGTTGTGTCTGAGGTGCTCCTGGCCACATCGGCTGGGAGCGCCTGGGCAGACATGGGCGCAGGGACTAAATTTGGAGTGACTTGACCAGGCCATTCTCTTTAGTCCTGCAGTCAGTCCTATTGAACCGTCTTATGGTGAGCGGGCAGGCGATACGGACTGCTAGCAGTCGTACTGTACCATCTTCTGCCAGGCAGGCAAGAGATGAGGATTGCTAGTATGTACTGCTACCATCTTCTGCAGGAGGAAGAGATGAGGATTGCTAGAGTCGTACTGTACCATCTTCTGCAGGAGGAAGAGATGAGGATGGCTAGCAGTTACTGTACCATCTTCTGCCGAG